CCATGTTCTCAGTCATGTGGAGGAGGTCTGCAACAAAGAGAAGTTGTGTGCTTGGACTCGCAGGGACGTATGTCAAGAGACTGCCCCGAGGAGCTTCGACCTTTGGTCTCACGGTCCTGTGCCTCCCAGTCGTGTCCCTCCTGGCTTTCAGGCCAATGGTCAGAATGCTCCAAGACCTGCGGTCGGGGTTTCCGCAAACGTCCACTGCACTGCATTGGGCATGATGGACACACGTTAACCCTTGACAACTGTGACCCCAAAGACCGTCCGCGGCCCCTGCTGGAAATGTGCAATCAGAGGGCCTGCTAATGACTGCATCTACAATCTTAATTCCTTCTATTTTGCTACAAAAAGACAGATATTTTCTGCATCACTTTTCCCTTGGACAATCTAAAGAGGTTGATGAATGTTTACAACCAGAGCTATGCATAAGTCCGCAACAGAAATGATTGTGACTACCAACATTTACCCTTTGTTTCTCTCCATCCAAGGGCCGAATATTGAACAAATGTGGCATCGGCAAAAGCTGACCACATCTTTACTTCTATCCTCTCAGCAGTGGCACATCTTACCTTATTTTAGCAGGAAAGCGCATGCTGCTACCACACTCGGAGTGTTAGCATGAGAGTGTTTGTGTGTCAAAATATTTTTATGCATTTATATAATGTTTGTCCAAGCTGGGCTGGACAAACCAATAAGTTGTAGTGTAGGGGATGCAGAGGGGGTGCTATATTATATAAAGAAGAATTGCTCATCTACCTGCTCACCCCATCAGGTATGGAAAACAAGATAGCTCATAGTGTTTATGTTCAAACCTATGTCCACATTTATTTATCAGAAACCTGAAGCACTTCAATTTTGTCTTTTCTTTGTTGTTGTTGTTTTTTGGCACATCATGTTACCCAGTTTCTCAAAATGCCTCAGAACTGTCTTTTAGCCATATCTTGCCTTCATGTACACGACCTCTAATGAGGGGAGCTCAAAAGACCAAAGAGGAGAGCGTGAATGTATGGGAGTGTGTGTGTGCGTGTTGGCGTGCATGTGTGTGAGACATAAAGAGGGACTTGTCTCCTGTTACTACTTCATAAGGAAGTCTCTCTTGCCTTCTGCGAAGGCTTTGTGTTCCATTTGTTCCTTTTTTTGTATAGAATATACGAACATTATTTATTTTTGTACAGCCTGTTAGATATAATCATTTGCCCTTTTTTTTTAAATACTATTTTTTATTGTAACTAAGATTACAGAAGGATGTAGACTATATAGAGTATTTATACGGTTTTAAAAATATATATATTTGGTCCTAGATTCATGAATAAAGCATCACTTTGACTTGTTCAAGAGTGTTTTGTCTTTTAATTTAAATTTCCTTCATTAGGTTCCCAAAGGGCAATTAATTTCTATAATTGTTTTGGCTCTGGATACTGACTTGACTTGAGTAGGTCCATAATGTAATGTAATGTACTCCAATGATTTTTCTGCATTGTTTTTTTGATAACACAAATCTCTAAGAATGATTAAAAACAGTTCTTTATCTCTCATAGGGCGGGGCTTAGCAGACACCTGCTTCTCATCAAGCTCATCAAGGAGGTTCTGGACACAAGAAACTGCCAGGGGCCTCAGTTCCTGAGTGTTGACCTTGTGTCGCAGTAGTTAAAAACTTCTTAGAAGCACATTTGACAGTCCATGGCTTGTTTATTTACTCAATGTCACTTCCGCGCCCCAGCAGAGGCTCTAATTAGGTCAAGCTTCCCACCACCTACATGTCCTCCTTATAATGGCTGGTTTCAAAGCAGGGCCCCGCCTCTCCCAGTGGCACAATCTACCTTTCCCACATGGATCTCCAACTTTATAATCTTTTAATATTCTCCATCTCCAAAACCCTTCTTCCCTGTTTTTTAAAGAGGTTCTCTGAATGTTGGTCAGGAACCTGTGAACATAGCAAACAGGTTTGGAGATCTTGCTTCTGAGATCTTGCTTCTGCAAGATCTCCAAAGCTTAATGACAGAGGAATATCTGCACATTTTTCAATGGGATATCTCTATTTAATTTAATTTTTTTTAATTAAAATTTTTGCACGTCAATTGTCTGTACGCCACTAGAGGGCAACAGAAAACTATTGGTTCTTATGACCCTTCACCTTGGTAGGCTTGTAGGTCGTCTCAGTAGAAAACTATAGAGAAACTTACATTTTACACAATTAGGCTTTTTTTTTTCGAACTTATTTTAAAAACTGAAAGTTATGTTATGATCTAGTTGTGTGAAACTGTACTGCCTTGAGATGATTGAATAAGAGTTCATTCAAGAGTCAGAAAACACAAACTGCAGGTTCCTTGAAGTCTGAAAGTTTTTTCAGGTTTTTTTTTTTTTTTGTTGCCATGTCATTTGGCTGGTCTTGGTCCACTGTGATTCCTGAAGTCCACAGACAATGCAGCTGGTTTACCCGAAAATATTTAGAGCACTTCATGTTGCTTTCTGAGATGTCAACTTAATTTTCTATCAGGACTTGGCACACATCCAGCACTGCCTGGAAAAACGTGATTGAAAGTATTCTAACTTATTGAGATGATTGTGTTTTAATGTTTTATAATATGTATTGACTGGGCTCTTAAAGTAATCACTTACCTCACAGCTTTAATCTGATATTAGAGCTCTACGGATTTTTTCATTTCCCTTTCAGTGTTGGATCACAATGAGGCTCTGGTTGATTGTGAGATTGCTCTGAGTTTCATCGCTCCTCCTGACGTAAAACAAAGAGTCGACACAGCAAGGTGACGTCAACCTCAGTGGACTGAACCTTTTGAGAAAGTAAATTACTTTCCCTCAGCATCCAAATTGCTTTAATCAAAGTCAAAGTTATTTTTGATTCAGCAATCAAGCAGTCCCCGAGTCTAGCTGCTCGACACCAGCAATTTTCTGAAGCAAAACCATGTGAAACAAAATAAGGGTTCGGGGAGAAAGCTACCCTGTGATTTATTTCGATATGGTGCTCTTTAATTTTGATTGCACTCACACCTTGCTTAAAAATTGTTTGATAAATTCCCCACTTGCAAGCCTCTCTCCTGCTAGTGAAAATTAGAAAGTGCCACAACTCTGGCCCACGTTGAACTTCCTGTGGCCCCATATGGAAAACCAGCTTCCGCTTCTGCCACACAAAGGAAGGAAATCATTGTCCTCTAATTAATGGTGCTTATGAAAATTGGCCATCATCCTAATCTGCCATGTGTCACTGAGTGTGTCACACTTAATATGTTTTTTCTGTGTTGAAATATTCACCGCCACTAGAGAGTAGATTTTCTCATTTCTCTTCATATTTCACTACTTTATGGACATATTTTATTATAGTTAGTATGGCTTCATTTAAACGTCCACACAAATTGAACAAATGGGACAGAATTCATTTTGAATCATGTTGAATTAGCATTGCTTACTTTCCTCTTGATATTTAAACGTTCACCACAGAAATGACTGAAAAACTTGGTAATTATAGGTAATTTTCTGTTTCGTTATAGAAAAGTAAGACCAGTTCATTTATTTGTACAGTACTAATAAGTATTCCAAAATCCATCTTAGCAATGTAACAAAATTTGAGAAAAATTGAAGCCTGGGGAAAATCTTTTTTTTTTCTCTCTTCAGGCAATGATAGAAAATGTCACTTTTTTTAGTGCTCACACTGGAAATACTGCCTGCTGAGTTGAACCTGCTTGTTTTCACATGTCTCTCGCAGCACTTTATTACAACTTGAAAGCAACATCTGGAAGGCATTATGAATCATCGCTGCTCCATGTGGGTGGCATTTCAAGAGCTAAATTACCCTCATCCTCTTGCCACCCCATGGTTTTGCCTGTAAAAGTTTTGTTTAAATTAGAGAAAATGCGATGAAATTGTCCCACCTAAACGTGAATGCACCGTGCCCTCGAGCCCTGAAAGTGAAATATTACCTTTTTTTCTTTTTTTTTTAGATGCTCATCATTTTACAAATGTTTTTTTTTTTTGTTTACTTCTGTCGTCTTTTTATCTTAAGAACAGCTAAATGCAGAAACCTGGTTTATGAATGAGAAACTTGCACCAAACTGTATGACATCAAACATTTTATTTTTATTTTTATTGTGTTGTAGCTACTTCTACTTCAACAGGCCTGGTTTCCCCCTGATTTCCAGGGGGCTTTTGTGCAAGAGGACCGCACAAAAGCAACCAGAGGGCCACAAATGGCCCCGCGAGCCGCACTTTAGGAGATAAGTGCAAACTTAACAAGAGGGGTCAAGCTGGATGTCGTGCCGTCGTGTTGTGATGAAATGGGCCATTGTGTGGCCTTGGGTGGGTCACAATTTGATTCCGCTTTTATCTCGCCAGATGTCGTGATGTGGGAGCGCGTCCGCGCGCGCAGGTGTGCACGCGCCAAAAGACGCCACCGGTTTTTTTTATTTTTGTTTTTTGTTTTTTTATTTTTATTTTTTTATAAACTTTATTTATTACAATAAACAACCATACAATTGTACTGTGGATATAACACAAAAAGACAATAATAACAATTTACCAGGGGGAGCATGAAATAAAGCAGGAAGACAAGAAAATAAATATGCATAAAGAAAATAGCACAAATTATGATCTTTATACCAGATGTTACAGTACATTAATATAAAAGATAATCCAAAAGTCCAAGAAAACGCCACCGGTTTACTTTGAGAATATCAAGGAGGAATCTGTCACGGGGGAAAAAGAGGGGACGAAGCGGATGCCTTCACAATAAAAGCACGAAAAGGGAAACAAAACCATCGCAAGGAAACGTGTATCTGTTCTTGTTAGCTTGAATAATCCCTTTCCGTATATTCTCAGGTTATATGATAGAATTAAACATTTAGGCGTGGGAATTAAAGCAAAAAATAAAAACATGAAGAAAAAAAATTGCCTCGCACATTCCTTCTGTTTTATTTTGAAAACCGTATCCGGAAGTGGTTCCTCACCTTCTGTCTGACTTCCCTCGTGCCTCTCCGCGGTGTAAACTCAGCAGGGGGACAGTGAGCAAACGGTGGGAGGACAAGGTGGGGGATAAAACCCTCCAGTCTGCCGGAGGCGTGGGGTCGGGAAAGGCGTCCACGCGTGGGGGGAGAGAACAACCCAGGAGCTACGCTTCACAAAGAAGAAGAGAAATCCAAACTTTGATCAAACTGCTCGAGTGAAACATGCCAGATGCGTTACTTCTTTGAGAGAAGACAAGCGGTTTTGTCAGTTAAAACAGGAGATCATGGAAATCCTCAGCAGGAGATGGAGAACGGAGGCGCTTAAATTTCTGAGGAACTCTCTGCTGCTCGGTTTGTTCACTGGTAAGTAACTTTTTTAACGATTTTTGCCACTTCAGTCATTAATCAGGTTATCTGACTCATAAACATCCCTGCCGGGATGAGAAGGAGGGATATTTTCAACAGTGTCACCTTCAAAACTGCAGGAAATTTGAGATCTGGTGGGTTCAGAGGACAAGCTGATGGTGTGGAGACAGGGAGAGAAAACAGCAGGAGGGGAATGAAGGACATGGTGCCCCCATTGTCTCCCAGTGTGTGGAGAGACAGGAGCCAGGACCCTTTAGTGGACCACCCAGACAGATGTCCCCAGTAGTCTGCCAGTGGGAAGCGTTCAGGGAGTGAGTCACCAACATGAGCAGCTTGGAGGAAATCAGAATAACCTTCCTCTGATTAAAACTTTTAAAAATTGTGACTCATCATAAATGGCCATTTGAGTTCCTCTTTTTGTCCACTGGAAGAAAAAAAAATCTGCTTCCTTTCTACTAGTTTTTTCCCACCTGTGTTTGAACTTCTCGCTTTTGAGACGTGCACATTCGCCTCCAGGCACGCATCATTGCAGCTTGAGTGATTGAAAACAGATCCCTGAGCAAAGACGCGTCTGCACACGCACACACACACACACACACACACACACACACACACACACACACACACACACACACACACACACGCGCGCGCGCGTGTGTGCTGCTTGTTTTCTGCATAGCGAACTTTCCAATGAGGGGTTCATAACCCATATTCCTATATGGATCCATGCATTTGATCAATTTTGGTGGCATTCCTGTTCCTGTTGAAGAAAAGCATCCCCACAGCATGATGCTGCCCCCACCATGGATTAGTGATGAGGCCATTAATACTTATGCCTATTCTCCCTCCTGAGCTGTAATATCTTCAGCTCCTCCAAAGTTACCATGGTCATTTTTGGCTTGGTTACAGGGCCAGTTCTGAAATTCTGAATCAGACTTCACCAAATTTTCTTTTTTTTTGAATTACTTTTTAAATCAAACTTCTGCAGTATTGTTTATTTTCCTAATACTTCTCTGCTTTGTCCTCCACTTTATGTTTCAGTTTGTCAAGTTGTGCCTATGGTTCCTTTTTTCTTTCTCCAGGCTTTGCGCTCGTGAAATGTCACTGGAAAGGGTAAATCTTGCGCCCAACAGCGCTCCACATCCATTTCTGATGTCATCATTAGATATGTGTGTCACAGATTAGACTGTGGGCCTCATCCGGCACACCAGCCTACAGCTTTTTATTCAGCAGGTGGGCTTCGTGGACTGCTTTCACTGCCTCCTTAAGCTATTAAGAAGAGCAATTCATATCTGGACTTGCTGCTATTTCCTTTTCTTTTCCTGTGGACAATTTTGTATTATTTGAACAGTTTTAGTGAGGACATAATGGGTTCTGCTCAGCATAACCAACCTGCTGAATCAAGCAACGCAAACATCATGACTCAACTCTATGGAAATAGTGCTGGGCTTTCAAAGGGAAGATTTGCACATTTATTTGTATTTGCAGTCTGTGGATTTAGGAGGAAATTAAAAGAAGGACAGCAACAACGATGGGGGTTTGTGTGGTGGTCTCCATCCAGTGTAATCGCCGTCTGTCCTCATCCCCATCACTGTTACGTCAAGGTGAGCTTTTGTTATTTACGCGTGAGAGGAGAGTGCTAATGAGAACATGGCCGTGTGTTTGCAGGTGGTAGCGAGGCGCACTGTGAAGGCTGCATAGAGTACTGCTGTGAAGGCTCGCCACCTTTCTGCTGCTCCTACTACGCCTACGTCGGGGACGTCCTCTCGTAAGCAAACACGCTCTGGAAATGTCGTTCAAGAACCAGTTTGTCGTTTTGTAAACTCATTTGTTTTCTTGCTCTTTTTCTTGGTAGAGGAATTAAATGTAACTTAGTTTAAAGTTTTAATTTGCAGGTAGGACACCTAGTTTAGGTGGCCAGGAAACCTCTTATATGTCTGTGCATTGAATAATTTTGTGTTTTTAGCCTTTCCTGGACAATCCAAAATGTAAAGTAGGTGCAAACTGTTTCTTCATGCAAAGTTACTGTTTGGAAATTGTTTTTGATTTAAAATAAAATAAAAAAAGAAGAAAAATTTTCATTTGGATTGTGGTTGGACGCTTCAAGAGAGGGGAAACCAAAAGAGGACAGACTACAAACCTGCTAATGAGCCCTTTTCTATTTCTCTGAGTGCCAGTTCGCAGACTCCTCTGCAGCGAGCGCACATGTTCTTGTCGCACGATTTGCACACACCTCACAGCTGAGTTAGATCAGATGAGGCGGCCCATCTCCATGGCAGCCCTGGAGAGGTGATGGCAGAGAGGACGGAGCGTTGATGAAAAGCCCTCGCACGTCTGGATGGCTCATTGCGTACATTATGTGTGTGTGTTCCAGAGGCACTGCCATCTCCGGCATTGTGTTCGGCGTGGTGTTTCTGATGGGGGCGGTGGCGGCCCTGTTCCTGTGCGTGTGCATGTGCATGAAGAACGGACGTGGAGCGCGGGTCGGAGTTTTCAGCACCTCCTACATCAACACTGTTACCCAGGGTTACCCAGGTGGGTCGCCGTATCTGACCAAAAGACTCCTGCACCACACCATAAACAGTTCCTGACTTTTTCAAGCTCTTTTGAACCCTGGTTGTTTTGTAAAATGTGGTACGTTTATGACGTTCAAGTACTTTTTTTAAAGGTTAATTTGTTTCCAAACAAGTAGTAAAACATATAACCTTTAAACGAGCATAATTTATGTTCACTTTTATTTCTTCTACCTGTCACACAATTTCAAACCTTTTGTGTTTAGTTCTTGACCTTGGCACTACATTTTGCCTCTGCACCTTTTTCCTTCCACTGAACTTTCCACTGACATACTTGGACACATCTCTCAGGGAATACATTTCTGAAATAAAAAAAGGTCTCATGTAACATTCTACTTCTCGGAGAAACTGAAGTTTGAGTTTTTGTCAGCTAAAATCAAGTGCCTCATTCTTGTGCTTTTTAAATCTATTCCAATGTATTAAAACACAACAGCATGTAGAGTTATACATGAACTTGCTTCTAACATGACCAGCTGTCCACAGAGGTGGAAAAAAGAAGCAGTCCAAAGAGTTTAAGGCGTTTTCCTGGAAAAGTGAATTATTGAACTCTGTTGCTTGAAGGTAGAAGTTTTCTTTATTGCACCGTTTCTTTTAAATAAATGAATACTATCGTGCAGCAGAGCCGGTGTTCTGTGACACTCCCCGGCCTTTGTGTTGCTATTTTCTCTACTCTTCCTCATAATTTATTCATCGTGTTTCATTCACAGCTGTGTTTCCCCTTCATGCGACAGTAGCTGAGCTGCTTTCGCGCTGCCCTGCAGCACTGATCGTGTTTCGCGAAGGCACCGCTTGACCTGATGCAGTATGAACGATTATGCAGCGTGTGCAGGAATAGTGATGGAAGTCATTGTGTTTTGACATGGTGGTTTTAGTTCCATGGTTCGGTCACTCAAAGATCGCAACATGAGCGTCTTAAAGCTGCTGTTTGAGTCCATAAGAAGAGGCAAGGCGAGTTTATTTCCAGAGTATTTATGCACAGGGATTTAGAGGAAAGTAAAGGAAAAGAGATTAAAAGAACACATAATGCATAAACAAAAAAAATTACATTTATTTACTTGCAAATGTTAAAATGCATATCTACATTAGATGCTAACCTATGATGACAAATGCAATGAAAATCTTTCACTTTTTATGTTAAAACTAGAGTAGTCATGTTTTTGTGAATTCCACATACAAATTTTCCTTGATGTGGAAACTGGAATCTGACCTATGACCTTTTGAGTCTAGTTGACTTTTAAACATTCTTTTTTAGATATATTTAATCTTGCATTTTGGGTGATCAAGGACAAGTTTCTGCTGATTTATGGGACAAAAACAGTCCAATAACCATAAAGTTTTTCTTGGCAAAGTTTGGACTTTATAAATTCAACCTTTTTTCACAGTAAGATATTGTTTTTTTTTTCTTATTTTCACTTTTTTTTTTTAGCAAAAGCTTCTCAATTTATCTTCCCAGCAACTTCTTTCAAAGTGCAATTCTGTGATTCTACCACTAGATGGTGGAAGAGTGTCATTAGAATGTTGTGGGCCTGATTCATGTTAAACCTTGAAGAAATATCAATCTAAATTATGTAGTTTTAACTTTGGGTGTTTTTTTTTTCTATAATTCAGGTCCTCCACCTCCTTACAGCTACAACTATGAGATGTACCCACCATCATTACGACCCCCACCCTACACCCCAGCCCAACCTCAACAAGCCAACTACTCTCCGCCGCCTCCTTATCCCGGCTTCACCCGCAAGTGAGTTCTCGCCATGCAGATCGCACGCTGGCTGGACCATAAATGGACACTCGCCGTGGTCGCTCTTCGGGTTCACCAAACTAAAATTGTCAGAATACCACCCCCTTTCTCTGCCCCCTAAAGCCCAGCTTTACTGCACTGCTGGTTTGAAGCAGAGCCTCTGGTGGGAAGAGAGAAAATGTGGGTCAGGATTGGAAACGCACACATGCCTCATCACGTCTGAAAGACTTAACTTGTTGGCAGCTTAACTGTTCTGACCTGCACTCTCTGCCCCCGTTTGTGCACATCAGAGGTACTGGCTGCAGTTTGATGAAGGTGAAGACCATGCTTTTTCTTTCCTGCATCATCACGAGTGGTGAGGAATTGTCAGTGATAAACTGCAGACGACTTCTTTTTTTTTTTTTTTTCCCCATTCTTGGAGCTATTTTGCTCCACTTTTATTTGAAACGATGATTATTTTTATTATATCGATCTGGACCTGCTTTGTATTGAACTGAAAGACATGATTTCATCCATTATAGTAAAAATGGTGACTTTAAATCATAGGCAGCTCAAAACTGGACTGTTGTAAAGTACTGACATTTCTTTTACCCAAGTTTTAAATAATGCGGGGTATTAATGTGGTAGTTTAAACTCAAAGTGACTTCACTGTGCTTAAACTGTGAATTGATGGGACGTCATCATTATAAATATCAGGTCAATAACTGTTTCCCTGTGTCAGTGCCTGTGTTGTAAATTAAAGATATGTTTTTGAATACAGATGCAGAATCCAGTCTCAAGTTATTCACCTAAACATACAACCCAGTGGTGTGTTTTTGCCGTATTCTCATGTAGATTAATGAAGTATGAGTTTCCACAGTAGAGTTCTAATCAAATCAAATTTTATTTGTTTAGCACATTTCAGCAGCAAGGCATTTCAAAGTGCTTTACATCATAAACACAAAAACACAGTCATGCAACATAGAATAAACAAGACATTGTTCAATATGACATTTCAAATACAATTTTAAACAGGTGCGTTTTTAGTTGAGATTAATATCTATTAAATAAACAGGCAGGATTTGAGAGGGGGAAAAAACGCATCAGTTTTTGATCTTATAGGAAAAGAATAAATACTTCTGTGATTGAGAAGGTTGTTAGTTCTGGTTTAGTTTTTAAATGTGCAGGCGCTTCCTCTCTTTAGATCCATTAAAGGGGGAGAAAACACCAAAATGTACAAAGACGGAAAACAAATCGGCTGATAAGTGTGGAGTTATGACATTTTAAATCCCAAATATTTGCTCGCTTTTAAAGAGTTATTTCATTTGCCTAGTGTGACGTCACAAGAGGCACTGATTTGTTTTGTTGGAGGATGTATCATAACGATTACAATTGCAACAAAAATTGCGAAGCAAAAAAAAATCTCCATCCCGTTTTGTTTTGCATTTGGTAAATCTCAAATCAATTGCGTTGACACGATTGATGAGCAATACCTTTGAGTTATAAATAAAACCTTTATTTTACTGCGAAAATCAAAAGGTTGAATCAGATATTTTTCTGCGGGTGTGTACACAAATTAAAGAGACTTGCAGTGGTAATATTGTGGTAATATTGTGAGCATGGGAGGCTGGGTTAATCCCAGTTGGCTGCGGTCAGGTGATCCGACTCTGAGCAGCTGTGCGGCTTCAGGATCGCTCACCATCAGACAGCGGGAGTCACCGGCGGAGAGCACACCGAGCCAGACGCTGCACGAGTTAGGAGACAAACGCTGCCTTCAGGAGCGTTACTTTCACAACGACATGGGAGATCGACTGGCTTTCCTGCTGCTCGCTGTTGTGGCCTCGGCCATGGCTCTGGAGGTAAGGAGTATTGGTGTGAAAAAGCGACATTGGAGTATTATTTTTTTTACCCCCGAGCATATTGTTTTGCTGCCATCCCGGTTAAGCTAACACGGGTTAGCTGTGGATGAGACCGGAAGTGGAATGGTTGTGCCGTTTGAAATTAAAGCTGAATGTGTTTGGAAGGACCAAAAATAGTTCATTACACTTAATCTCGGATTCACCAGGACGTCTGGCTTGATTATGGGTTTAAATATAGCCTGTCCTTTATGTCCTCTAGTGTTGGACGCTTTTTCTTAAACAATGTCTGTTGCTTTATTGTGAAGGTTTAACCGGAAGTGTGGAACGTTTTTGGTTGGATTTTTAAAGATGTTGAAAGTGGAAAATTCACGGGAATTTTACCAACCGTGGGTATAATTGGTGTTCATAAAAACCCCGTTATACAACATAAAATATAAATCAGCATCGTGTCGTTGTTTTGCGACACACGTCAAGCCTCTCTGCATTACAGCGGAAAATATGCTCTCACTTTGTTGTTTTTGCGCTTTAAGCACTTTCCTTACATTCCTGTGATTTAAAATGATCAAAATGAGTCGTGTGTGCTTCAATCACGAACACAGAGAGCATAAAAAGACACGTTGAGGACATAAAATCTCCGTTTTGTTGCTCCTTGGACTAAATCTCCACAGCGGATAAACGCGTATTGTCTCATTTTTCCATATCCCGAGGCTCTTATTTTTACAGCGGGTGTGTTTGTAGTTGTGGGAGCAAGTTTATGTGTCCAGCTGTCCCTTCCTGAGGCCTTTTCGTGTCATTTTGTTCTGATTTTAAGAGGCGAGGTTGTAAAAAGGGACTGTTAATTTGGGAAACAAACATTACTGACGCCCCTCGTCACGTTTCAGTTCCACAGTTAGAGAATGGAGAGGTAAGATGGCGGCGGTGCACTGCACCATTTATGGAGGGTCGGGAAGCAGAACAGGAGTTAAACATCACGTTCCCTTCCATTCACGCCTTTCTTCCACATTATTTTTAGCTGTATTAGATTTGAACTCCCATTTAACGCTGCAGCGTATTTCCCCCCCACAGATTTGTTTCTAAATAAATCACTGTTTTTAACCCCAAAACATTTTGCTATATGCGTGTGTGTTTGTAAACGTAAATAAATGCTCATTTCCTCCATGTAACTGTTTGGCCCATTTTAAATTTATTTGACTGAATCGGTTATCAAAAGAGTAGACTAAACTTATTTCTATTTTTTTTTCTGATTAACTTCATTTTTCAAAATCTATACATAGTTTAAAGATCAAACAGAGATAGCTGTTAGTGTGCCTTAAAACGATTACATTGTTTTTCAATGTTTCGTAAATGACTGAAATTAAGACACAAATTGTTTGCAGATTTTGATGCAACCTGCACCTTGTGTGGAAGCAATTATAGTAACAACTATACATAGGAAGGATCTATGATAATTCTCCTTTGTGCAAACAGGATGCAGCAACCTGCCACTGAAGAAACTGTACAGTTCAGCAACTGCTTTATGCATTTTTTGTGATCATTTCAATGTTTAATGTACAGCTCCTAGTCAATTAAATATTTTTTGTAATTCTGCACACTTTTTAAGAAGAAATAATCAGTTATTGCTATGAGTATGAACTTAAAGTCAACAAATTTCTTAAGTACTTTTTATTTTATTTAATTTTTGAGAGCAGTCAATGTTTAATGCACATCTGAAATTTTAGGGTGTCTTTTACTGATCATAGAAAATTGGCATGATGCCTTGTCGAGCTGCCACCTAAAATATGCACAATTACAAGACATTTATTTATTAAAAGACATTTCATCTGCCCTTTTGGTTGCAAAAACTCCACTTTTTAACAACTGCAAATGTGTAGTACAATAATGAGTTTGCAATTGTGGTTGAGCGGCAGCCGGAGTTTACTGTTCTCTGTGGTTTTGTCTGGTTGTTACCATTAATGGTTTATAGCTGGAAGAGAATTTGTAGGCATGTGAATTGACTTTGAATCTGTCCATTGGATCAGACTGAATTGAATGGCTATTTCTGTAAATAAATCCTTTTTTGCACAGTTCCTTAAAAAGCCATTTGTCAGTCAGAGCAATATAAAGCTGAATTAAACTGCATTAAAGCTTATAAAAACATGTATTTTTCACTTAATGTCTTGTACACTCGGAGCAGTTTTCTGCCATTTTGACCCATGTTTGACTGAAGTGAAATTGGGACACTAATCGACTGTTTCCTCCTCTCAGGCTTCAGTGGGTTTGGCATGAGTAGGATCCAACTTTTGCTTTGTTTTTAGTACATTTCTGAGGTTGTTGCAGATGAACGGAGCTTTCTGAAATCCAATATTTCCATTCGCAACTTCAAAGGCAGCAGCCATGCAGTCTGACTAGCTGCTCAAATACTCAGAATTAATTTGAACAAGATTCCGACCGAGTTGAAAGGACGTGTTGCAAGTTGTCGGGGCTTGATTCTTGCCTTCATACACACACCAACACCCTCCGCTAAACACACAACTGAAAGAAGCAGCTTTTCCTGCACAAGGAGGCTGTCCTGCGAAGCGTGGGACTGGATGCCAGCCTTTGTGTTTCTGTAAGCGTTTGGGAAATGCCTCTTGGATGGGCGCACAGTCTGTTTGTGTACGTACTGCAGTCTTTCAGCCTGGGGCGGAGCAGCCTTCTCTTATTAGAAGGCCCTAATGCCATTATGGCTGCTGGCGCTGCCTGTGTTTCCCTCTCTGGCACCTTCTCTGCTGTTCACGCTGCAGTTTCAGGTCTAAGGAGGAATCCGCTCGACAACAACATGTCTCGTTTAGCTGCTGACATTTTTGCTTGCCGGTGTGTTTGCTTGAAATGTATCTTTCAAGAAAACATTTGACAGCTTGTAGGGAATGAGTTTGAACTTTGCTTATGGGTCAGTGCTCTTTGAGAATGAAACGCAACACTCAGTGCTAATATGAGATCTCACACAAACAGGTAACATTACCTGGTAAGCATAGAGAAGCTCTTTATTTTCTCAAGTTTAATTGTCAAAGAGTCAACTGTATTGTCTAGAACTACAATCTCTTGACTATTTATTAATTCGTTAGCGGCAACAATTTCTTACATTTTGTTTTCATCCTTGTTGTGGGCTTATGGAATCCTTTCCGGTTCTGAAATGTGGATGCTTTGGGTTTTTTACTGCCTAAGAGAAGACTCTCCAGTAGCAGTGTTGCAATAAATCTGACAATGCCTCTGATTTAAGACACTATAGCTATATTCCACAGTAGTGTGGTATATAGATGAAAATATCCAGCTTTGTTCCTGAGCAGCATTGCTAATCTACCTCATTTGCTTCTGCTGCTCTTCTTTAAATTTCTCAGTCTTTTCTCAGCAAGACAGGAAGACGAAAAAAAACATGAGTAACATGTTTTAAAATATAAAGATTTTTTTCTTGTGTGTGTGTATTGAATTAATCTCTAATAAGGGAAAGAATTAGGAAGATAACTTGAGAAAACGATGGCCCATGTTTTTCTCCGGGTTACAAAAAAATTAGCTTCATAAATTGTTGCTTCGTTGATTGTTTCCCTTTTTTAAAGTGTCCAGTTTTCAGTTGCTTGTGCAACAGAAAAATGAGAACATGAAATAATTGTTGAGTAGTTATTATATTTGATTGTCACTGACTGGTTTAACATAGGAATGTGTTTTGATCTTGGGTCTGGAACAACCTTGTTATGTCAGTATGCGCCATATGGTCAGGTTGGACAAATGTTGCTCTCCCTGCTGGATCCTTGTCATCTGTGCCATTTTTAAACTCTGTGCTCTGCTCTGTCAGCTGGCATGAACAGTGTTTAGCGGTTTGAAGATGGCAGATTTATTTCTTTGAACCAGTGTCGTAGGGCCCAACGGAATCATTGATTTATTTATTTTTTATTATTCTTCTACCTGTGTAAGAAAATAACATGGTGGAAAAATGACTACAGTTAAAAATCAGGAACCGACCATCTCTGTTTGCAATTCTCTAATGTGTTTGAGCTTCCTGCTCCAGGAAGCACATGATTGTCAGGAAGGTCAAGCGTCCCAAACCTGTCCTCTGGTGCCAAATGCAGCAAGGATGAGCCTGCCTTCCTGTAGATCTGTCCATCCATAATGTCTGTTCCTTGGTTGTGAATCTCATCGGTGTGAGTTGACTTTGTTCGCGGGGTGTTTTGTGGTCTCCCCACTTTGAAAGCATGTTAGGAATCCAGCAGTGCTGATTTTGCTGGTTTCAGGCCAGCTGGTGACTCAAAGGCCTGTTTTGTGCTCTGCCACATGCTCTCTGAATGAAACAGAGAGTAAACACTAGAGTTAATTTCATAATAGAAAGCCTGAAAAGGTGCAGTACGTCTGATTTTGTTTGTTAGACTACTATTTGTAGATGGACGCTGCGGTAGTTTTTAATTGCTGGCTGTTTCAGTCATCTCTGTTTGCAGAGATGATTTTTAAATTCCGATGCTGAGGTCTACTTCCACTTTATAAAGGTCAAACATCTACTTTCTTCCTCGGAAGTCTTCTCCACTTCCTCTTCGTACGGTTGATGAAATCCCCTCGGGCCAGAAGCGGTCATCGTCATGCAGCGGTTGTTTCCATCTGCACAGATCAGGAGTTCACCATGAAGTCTCTCTTTTGCTTCACAGCTGCTGAGCAAGCGGCTCTTGGTTCACAATCAGAGTAACAAGTCGAGAATCAAGCCCGCCTGACCCGTGCAGACACAGAGTACGTCTAGCCTTCAGCGTATCATCAAGGACGCACGCGTTATCCACTCACAAAGCCTTCATATGAAAGCGTTTACCTCCCTCTGCTCACCGAGGCATCAAATCCGCAGCAGCCGCCGTCAGAGCGCCTTTGTGTCGTGTGTTGCAATAACAGATGAGTTATTCTTCGTGGAACCGACCTTCTATTCAGATCCAAGGCTGGTGAAGTCATGTTGAAACGTGGATTTGATTTCAAGCTGTTGGTGTGTCATGGAAGATGGTTTACGTGTTAAT